GTATCACCCATTATGTGAGCAGTGGCGGCTGGCCCCATTTTCTAAAGCTGTTATCATGCTAATAACTTAATGGAAGCCAGGAAGAGAAGATATGAAACATAACAAGTTGGTAATAAGTTGGCAACACACTTGGGCGGCCGGCACGCACTTCAATCGGCTTATCGCCGTATATAGATGAAGTTAAGGGGGGTTAGGAGTTAGTTTAGCAGTTGTTGCATTGTTTTCTATTCTGGTACGGTTTACATATTATTACTCATAAATTATTTGTGTTCTAATTACTATTATCAGTTGGGTCAAACAGTTATACATTTTGATGGCATAAACGACTCAAATTGAGCATGGTGTTCATGAGTTCTCCTGTTCAAGGAAACCGCGGACATCCTATATAGGCGCTTACAATGCCCGAATTATTCGTAGACATTGGGGGTATTAGCTAGCTGCCAACTGATTGTTACACTGGTTGCTTAATAAGCTATTTAAGATATCTTATATATATATATATAATATATAGCTATATTGCTCTAACTATAGTGTGCGGCGGCCTTGACTGTTACTTACGTGTTGCCGCTGCACTTACCAGACCTGCTGTTAAGGCCGCCGCACACCAGCCGATTTTACAAACGATGAAGCGATGAAGCGATGAAGTGATGAAGCGATGTAGGTGTGCGGCGGCCTTAAAATCGGCTCATCGGCTCATCGGCTCATCGGCTCATCCGCTCATCGGTTCAAAATCAAACATGTTTGATTTGGAACGATCACCCGATAAAAATAAAATCGTCTACAAATGAACGCGCACACCTACCCGATATCGGCTGATTTCTATCGGGCCGATCAAATCGCGTGAAAAATCGGCTGGTGTGCGGCGGCCTTTAGTTGGATGTCATCACCAGCCTTGTCATATATTCTTCAAGGACGTTGGCCCAGACTTGCGGGTTTATATGGCAATGATGATTACCTACGCATCGTTAATACATTATGCGGATTTTTTTTCCTCGTGTTGATGGAAACGATTTCGATTGTGCAAGCAAATAGCGAACGTCGTTGCAGACTGTTCGACGCATCGTTTTCCCTCTTGATGCATATATGTGATATTAATTATAAATTAAAGGCAGTTAATTAGAAATTTATGTGATGAAACGCAATACGTCTCGATTCCTCATTTGATGATGTTCCCGCAGACACGTCGTGCTATTCACATAGCCAAGATGTCGATCGGCGAATTCCCGATCGGTTTAGAAATAAAATAATTAGAGTGTGTCGACTGCTCGATGAAAACTGACGCCTAGCGACGCCCAATGATAGTTGTTTGAGAGCGTCAGCGATAGCATTCACAAGCGAATCATAGAGGCGAATATCATAGAGACTGATTGCGTATAAATGCAAATATTAAATACCTATCGTGTACAAGTACGTGGGCGGAAGTTCGCGCATCAGTCATTTCTATAATTTATTCTTGGTGACAGACAGTGATCGGAAGAGAAAAACACGATATTGGTTTTATACCCTTTGTGACGAGCCACTCTAGAGACCTGTTGGATAATATTACCCTGCATACATAATTAGATACATTGCGTCTATTATAATAAAATCGGGAATAATTTCGTCTCATTAGCGTTCAAGTAACGAAGTATTAGTGGAGATGAGAGTACGGTAGCGGAGTAGAGGTATTAGCGGAGATGAGAGTACGGTAGCGGAGTAGAGGTATTAGCGGAGATGAGAGTACGGTAGCGGAGTAGAGGTATTAGCGGACCTCCGATATAGAACGTCGTCCGTGGAATAGAATTTCTTATTTGCGTCGAGGATAGGTTGGAATAAATTTGTTTACTGTTTCAACCACATTTAGCCCGCTAACAATTCAGTTACTAAATACTAATATACACCGGTCGGTCGGCCGTGAGGTTTAATTTATAACGTTACAACGCCCAGATAATGATTTTTTATATAAGTTGGGTAACTGCCTGTAACATCAACAGCGGCCGTGCAGAATTGTTTATCGAGTCGGAATGCCGCGCATGCGTAGGCATCATTACAGTTAAATATTTCATATTACTTATCTCTGACTATATACATAATAAATGTGTGCTCATCAAACTTGTTTGCTTACTAAAATATTTACCGTGAAATTAGATAAAATCGTAACTAAACATGGACGTTTCTGTTAGGCTTATTATCTTAGACTAAAATATACATTTCAGAGATAATTTGAATGCAAACTATTTGCTAACGCAGTCATTCAAGTTATTTTCTTGTCATTTTCATCGTTTTGAATTCATGTTTCTTTAATCTAACGAGCAACAATATTTGAAATAGTTGTATTTTTTCCCGACATTACCTACACCGTAAAGTTGTTTTTGGAGCCGCGTATTTAACTATTGGTGAGATTTTGTGATAGTCTTTTGAGTAATTTATACCTCGTCTGTTTAACTTTAGCTTGTTTCTGCAGTTTGTTTAAAGCCTAGGCAAACCACAAAAAAGTGTTTTTATTGAAAATGCGCATAGTTGGGTTCGCATAGGTTTTGTAATACAGAATCTGCGAAATCGGGCTCTGTTTATCTTCTCACTGAATTATTTACAGATGACATCTCCCCCTCATTCCCACCCTCCCTTTCTTCTCTTCTCTTCATTGTGTGCCTCTTACCTACTTTCTCGCATACATACACAGACGAGCGCGACGGACAAATTTGTGAATGCAATGACGCGAGATATGCTCTACAAACAGACAATGTGTTATAACCCGACAAAGATTCTGCGGTGCACCTTTTAAATTAACCAGTCGCTCACCGTACGTTTTCCGCCTGACAAAACAACTCAATTTACGTTCGGTCTAACGTCAACCTCTTAAACACTGTTATGACATTCCGCGCCACAAATAGATGGTGTTATTTCGGTGGGGCTCGACACAACAACCGAATCGTCTCGTGTTTTCTCGTGTAACCCTGCTCTGCTTTCCAAGCCTGCTATATTGCCGTCGTCATCGTGTTATCGTTGCCGTCGTCGCGCTATATTTCGTCGCCGTCACTACTACTTCATTTCGGTATTACCATTTCGCACATATTTCCCCCGCGCAGAGCCACGCATCGCTCTACATTAGCTAGATTGCTGAGGGAGTAATATTCGGCGACATAAAGGTTTCAATAGGTGCATGTATTACGTCGCCACGAGCAACGTTATATATATATATATATATATATATATATATATATATATAAGCCACTGCAACCATTTTATTAAAATATTTGCTGTGAAGGCTCCGTACATCCATGATGTGTATACTATTGGCATACTATGGCATACTATGTGTATATATCGGGTTTTTATCCCGCTGTTAAAAGCACCAATACAAAGCTGCGTTTCGCGTCTAACAATTATATTGATCCGATAGCAGGTATCCCTAACACAGCCGGCTTTTAAAACGTGGTTGTCCGCCACGGCTTAGCCGTGACCGGTCATGAAAACGAGAATATTTCATTTTAACATGGAACTAAGTCGCCGTCGGGGCGGACAGTTAAAGACAGGATGTCTGTTTCAATTATTTCTAGGTAATCTCATTTATTTCTATAATATTTAATATCTTTCTTGACTGTGTAAGAAAACTTTTTTTAGCTTTGAGAAGCAGATTAGCACGTGAAGGGCGCACTCTCACAATGTCTTAACCGCGTTTAATTAAATAATTTAAATTATGTGTGTTTTTAGTGTTAATCGTCCTACCTGTGCCTGATCATTATTGTTTCGGTAATCTCACCTATTCCGGTGTAAATTGTTTGCATTGCCACGTGCTTGTTCCTAATCACTATTATCAATGGTTGTTTACTCGCAGTTGATTGTTGTGGCACGCGCTGTTCTACCCGTGCGCAATGACAATCGTTTACATCATCAACCCGTTCCTGATTATTATAGCCCACATTTCTCTACATGTCTATTATTGTTATTCCTTACAATGTCTTGCACTGTCCTTATTAATTATGTTTGAAACCTCATACACGGTGTTTGTGAGTATGGTTTACTTATCAGACGATGATTAGCGTATTCTGCGGTCTGCGCTTGTCAGTGTGAACATTTCTCAAAAGCATTTTACTAGAATTACGTTTTAATGTCGTTTTAAATTACAGTTTTAACTTTCTGCGAGTTTATATAACAAAATCTTATGAGTCGGCTATGTTATCAAAAGGCACATGTTTTACCGTCGTGGTTTGAATTTATAGTGACCGTTATCATGCCACTGTACCCTAGTATGTACGCCGCGTATGTAACTTATCCGGCGTAAAAGGTACCACTGGAAATTGAAAACTCGTTGAACGTGTCTTGTCTGCAAAATATTGCTTCACAATTTCGCTTCAAAAGGAATATAGTCAATATTTGAAGTGCTAGGCATTTTAAATTATTTATAGTTTAATATAATCGGACCTGGTACCGACTTGTGTATATAAGCGAACATCTAAGGTGTCCCTTGCCGCCATGGCAACAGAGAGAAATTATTGGAAATAGAGACGAGTCTATCAATGTTCGTGCATAAATATCAGCGCATGTGTCGGTAGGCTGGATGGGGCTCTAAGCTAATGAGCGAGTAACATTAGCAACACCACACATCTCTAGTTGACCCAGCACGATCCTCAAACTGTTCGTCAGAAGCAGATTAAATTAGAACGACTAGATTGGCGCGATTAGATTAGAGCGACTAGATTAGATTATCAGATTAGATAAATGCTCTCGTCGTTACTGATTGATATCGTAATGCAGAGCTCGTGTTTGTGTGATGATCATTGCGTCGTGAATATCTAGCTGTCGTCAAACGTGTCTGCGGTGCGTGAGTGCACTCCGGATAGGCGCGGCGAGATATACTTCAATATACCCATAGGAAAACTGGAGATATACCACCTCTCCTTGAATGAATCACTCAGCTTCATCGTCGTCACTCAGTCATCGATCTGCGCATGCGCGTCGTCTCGCTTCCTCCGCGGTGATCTAACCCGACTTCTGTCTTACTTCCTCGTGTTTTGCAGCTCCGCAGAGCTTTCCGAGAGCCACGCACGTGTTGGCTGTCGCCGGCTAGCGGAGATTCACTATGACGCCGGTGTCGCGTCACCTCGTGCTCGCAGCGGTCACCGTACTCACGATGTGCCAGCCCCGAATAGCGGCGTAAGTATCGTCTGCCATTCGCTGTGTGTTTATTTATATAGAGAGAGTCGTAGCGCGTGCCATGTCTTACGGCGTGCGAACAGATATCGTCGGGGAGATGGGGAATGAGGGAATGAGGGGTGGGGTGAGGGAGAGGAGGAATGAGGGAATGAGGGGTGTGAGGGTGAGGCAGAAGGGAAAGGAGGGAATGAAGGGGGTAAGGGTGAGGCAGAGGGGGAATGAAGGAATGGGGGGATAGGGTGTTAAAAGTGGCGTCGTTTATAGCGCGTACAGTTCGCTTTTTAGCGTTTCTCATCCTTCCGGCTGCGAGTTTTTGAAGTGCTAGAATGTGACCTAAAAAATGACTCGCTTTCCGTGTTGCTTCGCTGGTGCGTTGTATGCGTATAGTTAGAACGTGTTGCTGAATAAGCGGTTTTATTCAGGCATCAGCCAATCTTTGCTAACCTCGGCTAACCTGCGGATTTTTTAACGTCTGAAACGTTTTGGCTCGTCATGAATAATTGAAAGTGTGTATAGTATGGAAACGATTATATATACACGCAAAATGAATCGTATGAAAGGCGCTACCACGCTTTAACAGTTGATGGGATCATTTCGCTGCGTTCACAATCTAACTTTTAACTACGTGGCGAGCAAAATTAATCATGTCATATGTAATCATAGGATTTATAGTAGCGTGATTCACATTAGGTGCTTTCGCGTGCATACAGGTATAGACGTCTACGGTACGTGCGTGCATGCCTAATATAATTGGCTACGGGCTTCTGCGCGGGTGCATCTGCGTGCAAGCTTGCGTACGTGCGAGTATCTGTCTCTCACTCGCTCTCTCTCTCTCTCTCACACACACACACACACTCTCTCTCTCTCTCTCTCCTCTCTCTCTCTCTCTCTCTCATCCTCTTTCTCCTCTCTCTCTCTCTCTCTCTCTCTCTCTCTCTCTCTCTCTGTGTAGGGGGGGGGCCGTAGTGTGTGTATGCGCTCGCGCGTGTGTGCGTGCGTGTGCGTTAAAGCGTGCGCGAGAACATCTGTGTGTGTTTACGAGATCGCGTGTATGTGCGCGTGTATGTACGTGCATGTATACGTGCATCTATGTCCGTGCGTGCATGCGTGTAGGAAGGCGCGTGCGTTCAAAAAAACACGATGTTGTGACAAGCAGAAATACATGTGTGCTTAACATGTCGTCCACGGCAGAAGAGACCGATTTTCAATCCCCCGTGTGACCTGGTCTCCCATTCCACTAGACCGTTACAAACGTGTTTCCCAAGAGGAAAGAGTTAATATATATTTGGAAAATCGCAATCGCGAGTTAAACATATTCCGTAAATATTGTAATAATGTCAACACAGTTTTAAGTTGCTACTACTAATCTTCATATTTTTCTATTGCACTACGATTTTTTTTTCGGTTCGAAAAAAAATGGTTACCGCCCGATTATTAGACAGACAGACAGATAGGCAGGCAGGCAGACAGACAGACAGACAGACAGACAGACAGACAGACAGACAGACAGACAGACAGACAGACAGACAGACAGACAGACAACAACAGACAGACAGACAGACAGACAGACAGACAGACAGACAGACAGACAGACAGACAGACTGACAGACAGACTGACAGACAGAGAGACAAACAGACAGACAAACAGACAGACAGACAGACAAAGCCACAGACTGATGTACGGACGGATGCACGGATGGACAGGGAAAGAGCGATAAAGAAATTACGGTAAAGGAAGAAGAGTCCGATCGAAAGCAAGTGAGAGAGAGAGAGTGCGGCGCTCGGGAAGAAAGCTGCGCGCGTGTATACATGAGTGCGCGCGCGTATGTGTATTTAAGAGAGAGAGGGCGCCCTAGAGAGAGAGGGGGTGGTTAGAGATCGATCGAGCAAGAGTGGGGCACGAGAAGGAGAGCGTGGGAGAGAGGAAGAAAAAGAACCCGCCATGTTCTCTTGGAAAATATAGTAGATATTTATTACCATTTAGTCAAAAATTTATGTCACGTGTGGATTCGCAGAACTGATCGCACCCAATAGAGATTGCATGTAGCCCGGCTTTCACATATATGACGGTACAGCCTATTGACGCCTTGCCAGAGCGTTAACTGCAACGTATCGTATAGGTTTCCTCGTGAAGCTGAGGGCGTTCTCAACCGAAGCGATATCAACTGATCGACCGATCTAAAATAGTTTAGAAGGTAATCTATCAAGTGCGAATTGCGAAAATAGGATACGGAGTGCTCAACGTACACGACTCAATGTGCGTCGAAGTTCGCAACCGTTATGGCAGAAGTGCGGTATGTAGCACTACATATGTATATTCCAAGTGGCCAAACACGCATATAATATTAGCGTATTAAGATTTCATGGAGCTGATGTTGAATATTAATGAGGCACGCGGCGTGTTTGCCACGGCGTGCGGGTGTGTATAGTTCCTATCGCTGTCAGCGTATATAAACATTATCGGGTAATCTATGTAAGGCGAGAACTAACATGAGTGACGTACGTATCATGAAGAGAATGTACGAGAGATATAGAGAAAATATGAGAATGGAGAATGTACTTTCACGTGGTAATGTACGATGGTAGGATGGTCGACTCAAATGCCGCTTATTTTGAAGAGATTCTAGGGCAAAACTACTTGAGAAATTTATTAATGGCGACGTCATAACCGTGTTTGCATTCTAATAAACACGACATAAATATGAATCGAATACTGTTTCGCGTAATTGTTATTTCGTACACACGTAATATTTAAGATTCATGCTAGGATTCTTACACTAATCATGAATTCACTGTGTACCCGTCATGTAAGCCTAATAGCAGTAATAATTAGACGATTAACAGGTGTGCCTGCTTTGCTCTATGAATACATTCTGATACACACCATAGAACGTAAAAATGCATTCAAGCACAATCGACGCATGGATACAATGACGCACTCGCGTTTTGCGAATTTTGCATATCGCAATTACGTATTATTATGCAAATGTGGAATAGCGACGGCGCAATAGGCATACGAGTAGCCTATTGTTTCCCAAGAACACTTGACCATCTACATTTGCGAGTGTATGCAACATAGAAATCTACGGCCCACAGCTTTGACGGTCTATAGCTTTTTATTTGAGTATGACTATACTTTTATAAGTGCATGAATGTATGTGAAATTTATACTGAGTATTATGAAACGATGGTCATCATGAAACCACGAATGCAGTTAACATTGCATGTCCCGTTAATGTAACTGCTGAGGTGATTATAGTTCGGTGGTTATTGGGGTTCGTGTGCAAATTGCGCCGCTGCGAACATGATATTTGATATTTAATTACTGCAGGTTTGTGTCGACGCAATTGTAACACACGGCATTAATTCGCACAGTGTGTAGTGCGCCGTTGTAAAGCGGTTCCACGTTTCTGTGCTATATGTCACATATGCGTGTATTGCAAAAACAATGCAGTAGATGTAGTACTTTAGATGCACTAAGAGATGCACTTTATATGCACTAAACACCGGTGCCAGTGTTTATGGATCAACGCATTAATTATTCGGTTAGTGCTGAAATTATGGCCCTTCTTAAAATGGTGGGGTGGAGGAAGGGGATGTAGAGTTGGAAATAACAAATATATATATATGTGTTAAAATTTGCACACATACTGACTGCATCCACCATCATCAAACGTTCGCTAATTCTAAAGTTTCATGACGCGTTATAAAGCTGCACACAGGATGACACCCAATGACATACCGCGGGTTCGTAGCATGGAACTAATTCATCTTTCTGCAAGTATGAACACTACGGGATTTTAGCGCGGGCTTTCCTGAGCAAACGCAATTTGTATTCGCTAATTAGGTTATGATTTACGACAAAGAACGCAATAGTGACTAACTTATTTTACGCGTTCTCTTAAGCGCAAAATCGGTTTCGGACGATAAAACATGTACGGCCGCTAACAAAATATATTCAGACCGAGTTTCCATCAGATCGGGGTAAATGGACGAGGAGCAGGCGTCATTGGCTATATAGCTTATTTCTTCTCGCGTGATCCTGAAAGCTTGATTATGGACGAAACACGCACGCGTGAAAGCAACCTTTGCAAGCTGCGTTTATCTAAAACTTCGATACAATCGTTTCTGCTAAGCACAGACGCTGCACAGGCGCGCGCGTATATAGGAGAAAATGCGCGCGTTGGATGCACAGGTTGGTAAGGGGGCACTCATGACGTATTAATTCGTTCTCGCATTCCATCGAGCTTTCGCAGTAGTCGTCATGCAAATTACGTACTTTGTGGGGTTTCGGCTTACGGGGTTTCACATTCGCTCGGGACCATAATGGCGTGGCGCGCTATAACTATAAACTATAACTATAACTATATATATATATATATAAATAATATCTTAATATATGGAGATCAGTGGTTGGTGCGTATAACCGCGCTAGAGAAATCGTCTGCTAATACTCGGCGGCTAGAGCAGCGGGCGGTGCTGTTTCACACGCGCACGATGCCACTAATTGTCTGCAACGTTTAATGAATGAGCTAGGAGGCTGCATGGTGATGGGAGTATGCCACGTAAATGGCTTCCCTGCAGTGTAATTAACCAACGATTAAAACCGATAACATCGCGTTTCGGTGGCGGCGTGCGTGCGTGCGTACGTGCGTGCGTGCGCGTGTGTTTGTGTGCGAATGTGT